ACCACACAGCTTGGTGTCGTCGGCAAACTTTTTCACACATGACTGTTGGAGGTGACAAGAATTGCAAAGTGTACCACAATCCTGTTAGACAATACAACCTTTTAAAATTATTACGTACTTGAAAATAATACTCAAAAATGTCATATGCAATTGTGACTTTGAACCAATCACTCTGCTTTAGTTTCTCATTTGTTAGCTTTAGAAGGGAGAGAGAGTGTCCATCTATTTCCCTATAGGCTCAAACTGTAAAGATGTGTAGTTCAGTGATACAAAGCATTTTATGATACCTTTCAGGGAGGTAATGAAAAGTTATTGTGTGTTTGGCAATGTTTCTGTATAACGTGCAAATCTGAATTCGTGAAATAACGAGTTGCGCTTTGACTGGAAGCATTAATTCAAATGGTCTAATTCTCTTCTGTATGGGTTCTCTTTCACTTAAAGTCCTTTATAGCTATCAGCTAAAATACTTTTCATATTTTTAGGCAAAACTAGGTTTTCAGATTGGTTTCTTCAAGGGATAATCCTCAAATAATTTATTTTTTTTCCCTTAAGCTTCAAGAATTCTGAATCTGGAGTCTAGCTTTCCTTGTTCTTAGAAAAATACTATTTTGTGTTTTGTCTCTGTTAAACATGAGCTTCTGTATCACTGTTTTAATATAGTCTAAATAAATGACTTTAAAATGTCAACTGTCCATAGCTAGTACTTGAGGAAAGAAAATACAGCTTTGCTATTTTTGATTCTTCTCTCTCCTCTGAGATATGTGGATGATAAGCAATTTTTTTTACAGTTCTCACGTGAATGAAGTTCCAGTGGATTATTTCTTGGTTATTATTAGTAGCAGAAATGGCAATGATATTTCTTTTCTATAATACGTGTAAAGGTCTGCACATTTACATTTTCAATATTTTGTTTCCGTGTACATTTGGTAGTGTTTCTAATTATAAAATATGTTATTAAATTGGGTAACTACTTATGTCAAAATGAGATTTTAGCATAAAATTCTGTCAAAACACACCTTATTGAAAAGCCTCTTTCTAACTATATTAAATTTGTTTCTGTCCATAGCTATACATTGTTTCCCATATGTGAAAAAGCGCATTCCAGTAATGTACCAGCACCATACTGACTTAAATCCAATTGAAGTAGCCATTGATGAAATGAGTAAAAAAGTTGCAGAACTTAGGCAGCTTTGCTCTTCAGCTGAAGTAGATATGATCAAATTGCAGCTGAAGCTACAAGGAAGTGTCAGTGTTCAGGTAAGACCATGTACTTTGCCATTTAACTATTTTGCTTGCCGCTGTCCCTGAAAAATTATAAAAGTAGTGTTTTATCATTTAGTTTCTATTCTGTATATTTAGGAATGTCTTAAATTAGAAATATGCTCACTGTTTGTAGTTATTTCCAGAATAGGAAAAGCAATAAAAGTATTTCATATAAACACTGCTCAAGGACAGTTATATGAAAGGATTGATTTGTCTCTGGAATCTATGGTGGTTTGAGCCCCACCAGGCTTTGATGTAAAGCTGAAACTACCATAAAATAGTGACCTCACATATGAGGTGGAATGCACATACCTTGCCTAGATGTAGGTCTGCTCACAGTAGGTTCAACATGCTTATTATTGCTTTTGTATTTTGGTAAGATGCCTATGGAGATGAAGAGGGAGTGCCCAAATGTAGGAGGAGGGTAATAGTAGAAAATCTCACTGTGCAACATTTCATTTTGCCTAAGGCAAGCAAGAACTGAATATATAATGAAACCATTAGATTAATCAAAATAGGGTACATAAAGCAGTTGCAGCATGGACAAATCCATATGGTAAGGGGCTTAAGAATGCAATTACAAAAGTGCTGCTCTATTATTTTTAATTGATTCAAATCAAAGGAACAGTAAACACACTCATCAGAAATGAACCGGTGTCACACTGAAGAGAAAAGAAAAAAAAACCAAAACAAAACCAAAACAACCCAAAGTTCCAGAATCAGGAAGTTGTCAAGCTAGCATTTGGGATGAGAAGCAAGGGAGTCTTAATATAAAAAAATAATAGGGATTAGTCAGAAATCATTGAATCCACTTTTCATGTAGCTGCCATAATAGCACAATTAAATTTCTGCTAATTATGGCAGAATTTTCAGCTTAGAAGTGTGTTTTCAATAAATAACAGACCAAACAGTAGTAGATTTAGCTAATTTTCCCACCCTAATTTCATAAATGGAGATGACGGATTGGCAATATCAGCTGTTACTTTGTCACATCATCGAAGTGGTTTCTTTGTACCAGGCCAGGTTCATACATCTGTATGAGGTCTGTAGAGACTTCTCCTGCTCTTGTGTTCCAACTCCAGCAATTTTCTTATTTCATGAGTCCAACTTTTTTGAAATTAAATGTGTTCTCCTAAGAAAAACAAATCAGACCTGTAGTACTTGTTATTGCTAAGACAATATGTCAGACAACTGACTTAATTTTGTAATTCTTGTTCTTTTTAGGTTAATGCTGGTCCATTAGCATACGCAAGAGCTTTCTTAGATGACACAAACACCAAAAGATATCCAGACAATAAAGTAAAGCTGCTAAAGGAAGTTTTTAGGTATGTTTTTTGAAGAAAGAAAAAAAAATACTATTTTCAGGACTGATATCATAAGAATTTATTTTCAAACTTTTAACATTTATAGTGTTCTGACTGCATTAAAAGCATGCTTTAAGCTGGCATTTTTAATTAATGTTTTGGATTTTGTATTCCTGATTAAGATCTTTTTTATTATTTTATCTAAATCAGGCAATTTGTTGAAGCTTGTGGGCATGCTCTGGGTGTAAATGAACGACTTATAAAGGAAGATCAGTTGGAATATCAAGAAGAAATGAAAGCAAACTACAGAGAAATGGCAAAAGAGCTTTCTGAAATAATGCATGAACAAGTATGTACTGAAATTAAATTATTCATACTAGCATTCAGAATGTAGCTGTAATGTGAACCAACTAGGAGAAGTGTATGTAATGCTTTACATAAGAGGACTGGGTGTTTTGAGGGGTTGGGTTTGTGTTCTTCCCCCGCCCCCCACTGGAATGTAAGTATATCATGGAATTGTGGAACTTTGTCATTTTTTTTTTTTCTCTCTGTGAATTTTCTGCAGATACTTTCTTAATGAATAAGACTTAATTCTGAAGGTCAAGAAAGTAAATCTGGTTGGCACCAGCCTGTTTTTTTTTGTAGGAGAGGAGGATTACAGTAAAGATAAAACAAATTTAATGACATGAATATATATGGCATTTACACTTCATATGTGTAGTTACAGGGATCTCTATTCAGTGACCCAAAAAGTTCATTTCAGTATATGCTTTATGATAACTGTAGGGGCATTTGATCTGCAAACTTAGCCCTTTTTATTTAGATTTTAGAGGTGTAAGCATTTACTTCTACAACGAAGAGTTAAACATCTTTCAAGAGGTATCCCAACACATTTTCTTGAGGGGAATCCATTACAGACAAGCTGGAGGTATAGGGAAAGGAAAACTAGAACTCTCATGGAGCTAGATATAGAATTTTGCATCTGGGATCTATGGTAGAAATGTCTCCTGACTTCAGAGGCAAGGATATTATTTCTAGGAAGACAGGAAGGGCTGAAGATTCATGCATGATCCCTGCCTTCTTGACATTTTTATTCATCATACTCATCACACCAGGTTCCTTTTCTTTCATCCACTCTTATTTGTATAATCTTTTTCAGTTCTTAAGGTTCTTAACCCTTAAGACTTGTATTTCTGCCCCCCAAGAAATACCTGTGCTTTCTGATAATGTTTTACTTTACAAATGCACATCTAAGACTTTCTTAGATGTGTGACCATAATAGGAACTTTTCTTAGTCTAGGAACCAGTGCATCCTAGTCTGGATAACCATCTGATACAGAGAAGAGCTCTGAGTTTCTCTTGCCTGTACAAAACCTATAGGCTTTACTCAGAAATCACATTGTACAGGAAAAATCAAACTTGAGACCTACCTGAAGCATTCAGTCTAGCTGATATTTAAATGCTCTGTTAATCTTCCAACTTTTTTTCAGGATTGCATCCTTTCAAGGTACAATGACTTTATCCATTTACTATTTTTTACATCTCTTAATTACTCTATTGTTATCCAGTAAATACTTGCTCAAAATACTAGTCAGCTTGCCAGTATAACAGCTTATCTGTAGGTTTATCTAAGAAAGGTTTGCCTTTATTCTATCCTTGCTTAGATGGTATCCAAAACTTCTATGGCAATTTTTTTTTTTCTGTTCAAAAATTTGTCAAGTGTCTAAAGTTTACTTCACATGCTCTCTTGCTCTCCGTTATTTCCTGATCTGTTTTTTTTGGGTACTGTGCTATGAGTAGTTCTGTGCTATGATATAATTATGGTGATGCACAAGAATACAGCAAGTACATAGGCTTTATTCAGAGAAGAAGGGACAAACAACTGATGCCCATAAGATAGTGTGAGCAGAATATGAAAGTACAGCACTTACTACAGTAACGTGTACTGTTAGCCTACCACTGTGTTCTTTTTATATAAATGTAATTAGTTGTAAATAATTAAAACATGCTATGTTGTTGGGTTGTTTTTAAAAAATTTGATTGATCACTCCCCTGAAGGCTTAGAATCATGAGACTCTTCACTGAAATCTTTAAAAATGTGTCACCTTTGTGTGCCTGCCTATTGCTGTATTTGGAAAAAGAGCTTCTCACTACATTTGTTCTAATGTCAACTATTAGCTGTCTTATAATAGTGTGGATTTAAAATAATTTCAAAGATTCTATCATGAAAAATATAGACAAGAATCTTAACAGATTTTTCTTTTTTTTTCTCCTCTACTGCTTGCCATTATGATCAGATGGGATGGTAATTAGTTTTCTTTACTTTTTGTTCCTAGTTTGTCTAATCTTTATATAATTCCTTTCTGTCCAATATTTCTAATCTTAGCATCAGGAAATTTATAGCTGTTAAGAATGAAGTGGTTTTGGTGTTTCGATAGCTTTTGTTAAGAAATGCTCAAATTGTATCTAAGTCAAAACAAAGAAGAAAACAAACAAAAAAAGGGCAAAAAGGAAGCCTGTTGTCCTTGTGAAACTCCTTTTGAAAGTTAACAAGAGAAATGAGAAAAGCTTGAATAGCTTCCTCCTTCCTCTAGAGAGGACAATGTAATACCTAAATTAGGAGAACTGATGTTTGAGACATAACTACTGCCCTTCTAAATCTATCTAGTAGAGGATGGCTGAAAAGAGGAACCATCCCCAAAAGAAGTTCTATGCAATTGAGAAAGTACTAAAAAGTTGAGTTGATAGCTAGCCAATTTCATAATGTGCTGCTTGTTTTATAAATGCTTGTGTCATTTTGTAACATTTTGGTAAATACATGTTTTCCATTTTAAGATTACTCCAGTTGAAGAAAAGGCCAGTGTTATGCCTAATTCACTACACATTTTCAACGCCATAAGTGGAACTCCAACAAGCACAACAGTTCATGGGATGCCCAGTTCTTCTTCAGTTGCATGATTATTTTGTAAAGGAAAGTATGTTCAGTTTTGGTTTTGTTTGGTTTTTTTTTTTTTTTCCGAAGTATGTGGATTTGCTTCATTGTGTGCGAACTCAGGATGAATTTGAAGCTAAATGTTGGGCACGTGCAAGCTGCATAATTCATACGAATGTCTGAGCACACTTAGCAAATAGCAGTTACTGGTAATAGTCTTTTAGAGTGAGGCGCACATATATTTTTTAATCTTGCTTGCAGCGTTTAAAAGTATTCACGATGTCATTGCAGAAGTGCGTGTTGGAAAACTATAAAGTTGAAGTTAATTTCTCTCTTTCATTAGAAAGTATTATTAAAATGAATTGCACATAACAAAAAAGTGTTGTGGGATGTAATTTTGCAGATATGTAACATTCAGGTGTTCTTCTTGTGTATGGCACATAGAGATTGATTCCAAGTACAAGAACTATTTTGAGGCTAGACAGAGACACTAGTTTTTTGGGCTTAATGGAACTGACAATAGTAGTTTTTGTACCATTTGGCAAATTGTTGTGCTTTATTTTATACCTTGTTGCATTTTGGAGGTATGTGAGCTTAGATCTTATTAAACAACTAAATACAACCAAAGGTCTGTATTAATGAACACTGAGTTATACTAAAATATCAATAGTAGTAAATTGTTATGTACATATTGTTTGTTAATACAGTCCATACAGTCTGTACATAAATGTATTACATTTCTAAGCATTTTTTAATATTCATACCAGCTCTTATCTTTCTGCTTTCCGTTTATTGTGAAAATTTGCTCATTCCAAGTATATGCAGACTTTACAGTTCATTTATTCCTGTATATAAATAAGTGCAATATAAAGATGTATACAGTCTTTGCTATGTTAGGTTTATATGCAGTTATTAAAAGAAAAAAAACTTTTTTTGCCAAAGCAATGGAATATGTAATTGGTGATCATGGTTACTGTGGTAAATGGTGGTATAATTTAAAGCTTTTTCCATATTCTTATTCTTTTAAGACATTAATTTAGTAATTTTATATTTGGGGAAAATAAAGGTTTTTAATTTTATTTAACTGGAAGCACTGTCCTGCTGTAATTAAACATTCTGTACTACATCTATATTAAAAGGAAAAAAGTAGTTACTTTTCTTACTGTGTGCTCTGGTTTTTATTTTAGGTATGTCCCTGAGATTGGGGAAAGATGAAAGCTTGATTTTTTTTTAAAAAAAAAAAAAAGTCTTTTTGCAGCTTAAGTATCAGATGAGATGCAGATACTTTTAGGGTGTATTTCATATTCCTTGTCAATAAAGGGAATTTAGGTTATTAGGTAAGACATCGTTTCTGGATTCATCATGTTTGACTCAAGGTTGTTGCTCACCATTATAGTTAATATTAGGAAGTCTTCAAAACTTTTCATTGAATGACGGCAGAAATCATCTTTTCCTCATCCTGGCAGTGAAAGGCTGGATAACTCTACTTTTTCCAATTACGTTTCTGAAACAAAATTCCTGTTTGTTTAAAATTCTTTTCCTTTAAAAAAAAATGGGGAAAAAAACCCTTCAGATAAAATACTTCTAGCCAGTGAATCCATAATGCTGTGATAAGACACAGTGCTCCTTTTCCTCCTTCATCCTATATGTTTTCACTTTTTTGTTCATTTGTGGAATGCAGTTGGCAAAAGCTTGATGTAGGTTTTCATAGAGTAATATTAATGATTAGCACGTGTTCAATTCTAAGTATACAGACATTTTGGTTATAATCTTAAATGATGCATTTATATGAGAGAACACACCCTCTATTTTTTTGGTTTTAGATATGCTAAGATTATAATTGTTGAGTTTTACCTTCTGAATAAGTCATTCTGTGCCAGCCTCCCTTTTTTGCTGTTACTTTTGCAACAGGTAAATTAAGTATCTAATATGGGTTATTTTATTTATAAAGACAGGCTCTGTACTAGTTTTGGCTAGGATAGAGTTAATTTTCTTCACAGTACTATGATGTGATGTGTTGGATTTGATGAAAAGAGTGTTGATAACTCAGGGATGTTTTCATTACTGCTGAGCAGTGCTTATACAGAGCCAAGGCCTCTGCTGCTCCTAACACCACCCCACCAGCGAGGAGGCTGGGGGTGCACAAGGAGTTGGGAGGGGACACAGCTGGGACAGCTGACCCCAACTGACCAAAGGCATATTCCATATTCAGCAATAAAAACTGTGGAGAAAGTTTGCCAGGGCAGCGGTTGCTCAGGGACTGGCTGGGCATTGGTCAGCTGGTGGTGAGCAGTTGGGGTTTTTTGCATCATTTGTTTTTCTTTCTTTTTGTTTATTTGAGGTTTTTTATGTATTAAACTGTCTCTATTTCAACCCGCAAGTTTTCACACTTCTACTCTTCTGATACTTTCCCACATCCTGCTGCAGGGGAGCAAGCGAGAGGCTGTGTGAAGTTAAACTACGGCAGTCCTTTTTGGCACCCAACGTGGGGCTTGAGGGGTTTGAGATAACAGGTTTGACCTCAGTGCATTAGAGGGAAGTTACCATTATCATCTGTTTAATGGTTGCTGGTCACAATGTTGATTTACTTGTGTTCTTGGCATTGATTCATCTGATCAATGTCATGCTCTTTTTTTTCTTGCTGTACCTCACATTTGAGAGCTTGTTACTTGACTTCTGGCATTTGCTGTGCAGTGTAGCACTTGGTTGTGTTTTGCCTGGGAGAACTATGATAAAAGCATTGTCCTTGAGCCTAATCTGGAATTTGGACCCTGTGTTGTTGCCTTCCGTTTACTACAGGAACCATCTCATGAAGATAATTAACAAATTTTTTTTGCTTTTCTCTTCCGAGAATCAGGCAGTGGAGGGAATGAAGAATGGCACTACCCCCTCTTTTCCTGCAGGGTTAGATGTTTTCTCCCTTTTTACAGTAACTCTTCAGTATCTTGAACATCCTTGGGTAACCAAAATACTCTTACTAGCATGTTTCATTAATATGTTTCCAGCTTTTCCTAAGGTTAACCAGCTGTTTAGGAATATCACACAGGGATGTGTTCTAAGGCAGTAAGGTTATGGGTAGCAAGGCATGTGGGAGGATATGGGCAGGTGCCTAGGACTGTCATCTCTGGTCTGGGACTTCACCCCCAACCAAGTGCAGGATCTTGATGAAGTGATAAAATGTTTGAAAAAAAAGAATGCCCTGGCTATGCCAGACACACAACTTACCACCCTGTGCCGGGGCCTGGCATATGCCAACTGAGCACTATCCAGCACTCTCAAGGGGAAGAGGAGGGTCTCTGCAGCAGAAGACATACAACGAGCCCTGGCTAAACCAGAAACCCAACTCTTAACTATATCAGTTGCCTCCCTAGTCAAGAAGAAACAATGGAAGTGAAAGTCATCAACTTGTTTAGTAAGGGAGGAAGAATCAGAAGAGGCAGCCTGTTCTGTGGCACAGCAGTCACCAGAACAGGAGGAGGAAGAGACAGAAACCATAAACAAGTCAGAAACCACCTGATCCCTATTCCTAAGTGAGCTGTGAGATAAGCAAAAAGATTCCAGCCATCATCCAGGTGAGCAAACAGAAGGGAGATAGGTATTAATTAGCTAAAGCCATGCTGTCTAAATACAATTGCTTGTCTACCTTGCCTTGGTTTCTTGTATTTTCTCTGTCTATACTGTATAATAACTGTATAGTCATCTTCTTTATGTATCACAGTATTCTAATCTATTTGTGCATTATTTCAGGCATATTTAGGCTGTTCTGGGTGATCATAACGCATTGGTTCTTGAAGTTATAGAAATCTCAACATGCATTAAACATTTGCACAGGCAAGATGTTTAATATGGGCACATGTTTCAGAAAACTTGGGGAGAACAACTTTCTTGCATACTTCACCAGCAGATACTATGATGTCTTGTTTAATTTTTCAGGTGATTATTATGATACAGGTTTTTCATCTACTCATGAGATTTGAGGATATTTTAATTCTTCTTCCTTTTTAGCCCGATTCCTTAAGAAAATGCAATTCACTGTATTCATCCAACAATTTAGTGTTCTCTCTAGTAACTTTTGCAACTGTTGACCAGTCTTGATCTTTGCTAAATTTGGCTGAAGAGTCTGTGTGCTTAATGAAAAATATTGGCTGGCAGAGGTGACAGATTTAAATTGCTAGTATTGCTTATGGAAGCACTGCAATGTGAATGTGACTTGCTCTCCAGCTGGTCAATCAGTATGCACAGCATGGCCAATAAATTGGCATCAGTTTAACTCAAAATAAGTGATAATATGGTTTTCTTCCCCAAACAGTAGTATATTCCATAGTGTACTCTCAGTGGGTAGCACGCTGCGGAAAGAAAATTACATGTACTGCAGAGGAGAGGAGGTAAAGTCGCAAGAATGAGGAGGCAAGTTGGGCTTAAGCAGAGATGAGGGGATGTGTGGACAAATCGGGAAACCGTCCCTCTCTGGTACACGTGCTACAACAATCTTTTTTCAAGATGCTGAGTGTGCTCTATTTTACTGTTGCCACAGTTATATCTACATAGCAACTTGTAATGTGGTTTTGGGGGTCTTTGCAGTTAGTTCTCAGGCTGGACATGGTAAGTATAATGTTAAACCTAACCATAATGTTGTAAATATTTTAAAAACAGTATTTAAATGGGATTATTTCAAATAAAACAGAGTATTTAGATGAACCCGGCTCTTCAGTGAAAACACTTCATCACATAAGTCAGGAAAGCTTTTCAGGAAGAATAACAAAGTTCTAAAACACAGTTTCTTCTTTTATCTTTGTTTTCTTTGTAAGAAGACTTCACTAAATAGAAGACATATAAGTCACGATCTGTCATGAAGGCTATCTGTTGAAGTTTGGGAAAACTGGTGTTCTGTGTTTTTCATGGACTGCACTATTGGACAGAGAGCAGAAAAACCAGAAACACTGGGCAGATAAGGACTATCTTGTTCTGTAATTCTCTCGATGGTATTTGTAGAAGTGACCACTTTAAGACCTTTAAAATACTTTGATGGTGGATTTTTCCTTTCTGAGGTATTATACTGAATGTATAATGAGTTATTTAAAAGCCATTTAGACTCTAAATATCTTTTGCTCTTGACACAATTAATGAATTTAAATTATATCTAGTGATTAGGCAGTATTTCCCTTTCAAGTTAAGTGTAGTA